TCTCTCTCTCTCTCTCTCTCTCTCTCTCTCTCTCTCACACACACACACACACACACAGACACACATACACACACATATGCTCTTGCTTTCTTAATTCTTTCTTCATCCTCTCCTGCCTCTTGGCCACTTAGCTACTCTTCCACTCTTCCCCTCTCCTTTCAGCTGAATTTTCTGGCAACGAGTAGCTGCCATTCCAGCAGCACTTACTCCATGTCCTCTCTTGCTGCATCCCATCAGCCCCCCAGGCAGCAGGCACCTGGAGCATGACATTTTCTCAGGTGCCAGGTCTTATCTTGGAGTTTGCATAGTTCCTCAGTCCATTGAATCTCTCAGTAAAACTACCTCTCGAGGCTGCCCATCACCTCCTTTCTTCATTTGCATTAGTTAGTTGTTTGTGATTGAACAGTGATTGCAGGTGATCGAACCCAAAAGGGCCTCTTTTGTGGTAAGCATGTGCTCTACCATTGAGCTATACACCCCAACCTCTTTTCTTTCATTAAATAAATATTTTTCTTAATTATTAAAGAAATCTGAGCCAGCCCCAGGGTGATTTATACCTATAATTCTAGCTACTAGGGAGGCAGAGATCAGGAGGGTCACAGTCCAGGCCAGCCTGGGGCAAACAGTTCGCAAGACCCCGCTCAACCAATAGAAAAACTGAGCACTGTGGTGTGTACCTGTCATTCCAGCTACTCAGAAAATGGTCCAGGTCAGCCTGGGCATAAATGTGATACCCTACTCAAAAAAATAAACTAAAGCAACAAGGGCTGGGAGCATGGCTCAAAGCCCTTAGTTCAAACCCCAGTACTGTCTGCCCCCAAACAAGGAAAAGATATGAAATAAAAGAAAAAAGAAATCTATACTTACAACAAATCCAAGCAAAACAGAAATGCAGTAAGAAATAAGTAAGAGTGCCCCCTTCCCTAATCAGGAGTAATCACTATTTGTCATTCTTCTTGACTTTTACAATGTTTTCACAAACATGCACATAAAGAGGTTGGTTGGTTGGGTTTGTGAGACAAATGAGTTCCTGTCATACGGTAGTTTTTTTTTTTTTTATTTCTGTTAATACTATATCAACATCAGTCTTCTTTTTGTAAAAGCTGCACGATATTTCACTGAGCAGATCCACTGCTCTACTACTGATGGGCTGATCCCCAATAGTCTCTATTTACCAACACTGATACCATAAATGTCGCTTTGTACAACTCTTCCCATATTGACATTTATAGGGTAAATATTTAGAAATGGCTGGAGTGGTTGGCCACAGGGACCAGGCCTTGCAAGACTTCCTCGGTCTCACTCCCTTTGCACCACATTACACAGACTAGCTCCTGCTTCCTGAAACTCCTTCCACTGGAGTCTCATTCTACTTACTGGATGGCTACTCCATCACTGAATCACCTCTGTTCTCGTAAGTAGACATTCCCCAGAATACCCTTCTTTCTCTTCTCTCCCTTGTACGATGCTTTCATCTTTCCTCCTTTATGTTCTGTTAGCAAATGCCTCCTAACCCACATTTCTAGTGCTTACCCATCTCAACTGTCTTCAGGACAGTCCAGCCACAAACACCTAACTATCTCAAACATCTGAAACTTAACAAATCCCAAAATGAACCCATGACCTTTTACTCTAAGCTATAGTCTCATCTGAAAAACAACAGGATTGAACTAGACTCCATTAATTCAAAAAAAAACTAAGAATCTAGAATGTACCGGATAAATTGATAAAAACACAAACCTAGCATTCAGGGAAAGCACACTCCAAGGAGTGGAGGAGATCCGTAAATAATTGATAACAAACAGTAGAATAAGATTCTAAAGTAGATGAGAATGGTCAAATCTGACTTGGGGGCTTGAACACAGCTTCACGAGGAGCGTTTGAGCAGAGCCTTGAAGGATGACTAGCATTTCCACAGGAAGAAAAAAGAGTATTTCTGGCTGAGGGTGCAGCATGAACAAAGTGTAAACTCCAAGATGCATGGGAGGACACGGTGCATGCATCACGGTCAGAAACCACATAGAAGAAAAGGTTGAAAAGGCTGGGGCTAAAACCATACAAGGTTCTGAAACCTTTCGTAAGGAGCTCAGGCTTTCTTTAAAGGGTTTATAAATTTTCCATTCCTACTCTATGTGCCAGGTCTGGCTGATCAATAAGTTTGTGTATAAAACGATGCCAAAAAAAAGATTTTGAACTTGCATGGATACTCCCTGGGACAGCATGCCTATGGTTGATTAGCACAGTCAGCCAGGGACATCATAAAGTACCCTGAGTGTCTGCCATTCCTGTTGAAGGCAACAGGGAATTATTGGAGGTTTTTAAAGAAGAAAATGCCATAACCCAACATGTATTTTATGTGATATCATTTTGGCAGTAGTAGTAGAGGTGGAACAGGAAGACACACCCAAAGGAGAGAACATTAATCAGGAGGCTGCCTGACCGGTCAGATGGTGATGATAATGGTGATGAAGAAGAACGAGATGAATTAGGGCAGATGAGTCAAGGAAGAAAAGGAAGAGATAATGAAAGACAGAATCACAATGACTCAGAAAAAAAAGATGACTCAGAAACTGAGATGATGGAAGGAAGGGGGATGGGAACCTGGATCACTAGAGAGATCTTGATGCCATTAACTAACACAGCAGCAATCCTTGCTTTTCTTCCCAAATCCTCCAGCCACTTGACTCAGGATGTGCTGGTTTTTGAGGCCCCTGGAGGACACTGGGGGGGCAAAAGCAAGCTCCACATTGTTTGATGGCCCCAGCATTTACACAATGGCATAAATAAATCTAGCGTTCTCCCTTTTGCCAGATTACCAAGAAAATATCCCTCCATAGCTGAGCCAGCAAACACTAGGCTACAAAAACCTTTGAATGTTCAGGCTCCCAAAAGCTGATTCTTTTTAGCGCTTTCTTTACAAAAATATGGACACATCTTCTTTTACTTAATTCTCATGACAACAGCTCCAGCTCATACCTGCCATGCATTTGTCACACAGCCCTGTTCTAAACATTTCATAAGCAGTCATGGATTTACTTCTCACAAAAATCCCACAAAATAGATACCAATATTATCCCCATTATACAGATAAAAGGCCCAGGGACATTATATATATTTACCTGGTAACAAAAAGGAAAAGCAATGAATTTTGAAAAATCTCAAAAAAAAAAAAAAACAGGCCCGGAAATGCCAATCAACTCACCCAAGCTGGAAAGCAGCAGGACTGGGATTTGAGGCTGGTTAGGAAGGCTACAGAGCCTCCATGTTTAACTAGCACAGTGTATGTTTTAGTCTATAAGAAAGCTAAGGCACAGCAGGCTCTCTGACCAGCCAAAACTACTCAGTTCTGTCAACCAATTAGTAATGAACCTACAACCAAGACACAGGTCTGACTAACGCACAATCCAGCACTGTTTCTCTGTCTCTGCAATATTTTCCAAGACAAATTGACCTCTCCCACTGGACTGGCATATTATTTTTGGGCCTTTGTTGCTTCTGCTAGATGAAGGTTCTGGGTTCTGATTTTCCCTTGCCCTGAAGCCTCATACAGTTTTTCATTAAGATCAGACACATGCCTCTATTTGGAGAATGGCGTCAATCTCTAACCACAGTTGCATGGCTCATTTCTAAACAACCAGTATCTGGAGGCAGGTGACACTGTTCCACACGCAGGCTCATGTGCACACACGTCTCTCTGAACACCTGCCCACGGTAAGCAGCAAGCAATGCCAGCACTGGGCCAGGCTCCTCTGTGAAAGAGAGGAAGCAAAGGTAGAAAAGCCAAATTAAAAAAGCAGTTGCTGTACCAGTTCAGGTAGACAGGCCCTTTGGCCTACTGCCAAAAGATCCGCATTTTCAAGATTGCAACAGACAACCATGCTCAAAAGAAATAACCCAAGATTTCTGGGGCTGGGGATGTAGCTTAGGGGCAAAGCACTTGTCTCGCATGTGCAAATCCCTGTGTTCAATCCCCTAAACACCACCAAAACTTCTGTTTCTCTGAAGTGGGTAAGAAGAACAGTCTAGCGTTGCAGACGGCAGGCATTCGAGGTGGAACAAAGCCATCTGGGGTATTAGAGTGAAACACTCAGCTGGGAATCAGGACACCCAGCCAGGCTTCTACTGAGCTGTGTGACTTTGGACAATTGTTCACCCCCGCCCCAGGTCTCAGTTTGTTCATCCAGAAAACAAAGGAGGGGGGAGCTCTCTGAGCTGATCTCCTGAGGTTCATTTCAGCTCTGACTTGATACTACTCTGCTGTTTCCACAATCTGAGAAAGTATCTCTAGAACATCCTGTGTCTACAAGAAGCAAATGAAAGAATTAGATAAAACAAAAATGACCTTTGTGGAAGGTTGCAAATGAGATAATACACAGGCAGTAGACTTCTCACCATGCCTGTAGCATAGTTAATGAGTGCTCAAAAATGTTCCAGGAGTTGCAATGCCTGTAATTGAAGCACTTGAAGGCTGAGGCAGTAGGATTCAAGTTTGGGGCCAGTGTGGGCTACATAGAGAGACATATACCCTGTCTTGAAAAAAAGGTTACATGTATTATTATTACTACTAGTCTGAACTTTTATGAGTATACAAGCTAACCAAAAAGTACAGTGACTTCTTCCTCTGAAATTTGATACTTTTTATTGCTAATCTGATCTAGTTCCTGGTTGACAGTGTTTTAAGGGTCTGAAGGAGTCCTGGAATGAGCAGAGGCACCAGCTGTCCCATGCCAAGGGAAGACATACACAGCAAAATGAAGTAGCAAGAGCCAGCATTTCATCCCAGTTCCTTGGGAACTGACTGTGGAAAAGGGGGATTAAAAAACGAAAAAAACAGGTACAGAGCACAATGTACTCTGCAAATTGTTTTTCAGAACAGACACAAAGCAGGGAGTAAGAAATTTGGGAAGCTGATGTGAGCCTAGTTTCCACACACATCCATCTGAGCAAACACAAGCCAGCCAGTCAGGAGACCCTGGGATCCACAGGCTTCACACTCTTCTCCACAAAGTGAACTCAGCTTTGACCTAAAGGTCACCCCTGACTCCTTTGTCCAAGACAGTACTCCTGCTAAGAGCCCTGTCCAGGGAGGGCTGCCACAGGGATAGGGGTCAATCAGTTTCCTTCACTCACTGGCCAGAAACTTCACAAGCACTCAAGAACACATGAACTTGGCTGGTGTTTGGTCACTGGGCTATTCTGAGAACAGTTGGACCAGGAAGCAGCTGAATGGAGACCCACAGGTAAAACCAGCCCCTTTCCTCGGGGTGCCCTGTGAACCCAGGAAATTGGGGGAAGGGCACTGTGAAGCAGTAGCCGGGAGCCCAAGGGCCCCGGCGTGAAAGTAGTGAAGATAATGAGGCATTTGTGCCCAAAACCCTCAGCAATATTCCTGCAGGGCGCAGAGAATAAAGTAGAGTGAAGAGAAAAAAGTGCAGCTACAGGCACACACACTCAAGTGCCTGGGACTTCAAAAAAGGAAGCTTTTAACAAATGCAAACCAACAAGGATCAAGTGCTGCTATAAAGAGGACCCTTTGTCATCATCTTCCCTAGGTCCTGGGATGAGGGAACTTCTAAGGGTTGCTATTTCTTTGAGTGGCTGTTGGCTTTAGAAATGCCCCCTTAAGCAGTCCTCCCAGGGAACCAGGATTATCACAGAAAATGTGACCTTGGCCTTCTCAATAACTGCCTCTTGACAGGAGAGGTCTTCCAATGGCTAGGGCAGCAATGGGCAACCCCCCATCCATGGCAGTAAGAGTCATATGACAACAGTCTAGGCTGTGGAATTCTGCAGTTTAACAGGTCATCCTCTAGTCACTGGTGGCTTGGACCCCAGTCTATTCTGAAACAGAGCAGCAGATCTTGAAAAGAGACAGGTTCACCACACCCAGGAGGAGGAGGAGCACTGTCTGTCTTTTTCTAATTGCTGATGTGTTGGGGAAGGCACAGTAAAGTCCATTCCCCTAAGCCGCACATTTCCACTATGATGGGCTTCTCCTTTAGCTAAGATACTGGTCCACTTGAAACCTGCCTTTCTGAGCCTGGAAGCGTAACTCAGGCACATAGCAGTTGCCTAGAATGTGCAAAGTCCTGGGTTCCACCCCCAGCCTGGCAAAAAATAAATAAAAAATAAACCGCCTTTCTACCAGCTCTGTGAGTGCCCCTTTCTCCACTAATAATTACCTAACCCTCCATCAAAAGGCATTAATGAAAAAGGAAGAATAAACCCATTCACCTGAAACCCCACCCACGCCAAACCACTCCTTTCATAGTCGCTGGTTTCCTAGACTACCAATCTCAAGATAGCTCGCACCACGGAGCCAGCCCTGGGATGCAGAGCAGCAATAAGTAAGCCAGGAGGTCCCTGGAAAGCCACCCTTCCAACCATGAGAGCCACCTCCAAATACTTCAAAAAAGAACAGGGTAACTTAAGGTAACTGTCACACTACCCACAAAGCTGTTTTTAGGCCTCAAATACCCAAGCAACCCTGCCCCCCAGAGATTACCATCCAGGTGCTAGCTTTACAGAAGCAGTATTTTTGCCCACTGGCTGACACAAAGATGCCAGGGAAGCTTTTCTTAGTGGAGATTCTTAAATCTACCTTCCTCTATCAAATTCCTACCATCTTATCCCGATGTCAGGCACATGAGCTCCCAGCAGCCACTGTCATAATGATGATGGTTGTCCTCACTTCTGTTGTCAGCATTGTAGTGGTGGTAATGCTGGAATTACTGTCACCATCATTATCCCAGCTAAAATGTATTCAATGTGTACTATGTGCCACTTACTTCCATGAATGCTTTGCTAGCATTTTCTCACTTGCCTCACGTAATCCTCGCAATACTGGTAAGTTAAAGTATGATCATTTCAATTTACAAATGTGGAAACATGGGCTAAGAGGTTAAGTAACTGGCTCAGGGTTACATAGCCAGTGGAAGGATTTGAACCTCTATACCACCTCAGGCCCTATAATCTCTTACCCAGTACACCACTGCCACCTTGAACTATATAGCAATATTATCACCGCCACTAAAAACTGCCATCATTTATTGAGTGTACACAATGAGGCAGGACTTCTGGCCGATGCTTGACTTAAGTGACTTCATTTAATCTTCACAACTCTATTTGTTACATATTACCAGGATTCCCATTTTACAGATGAGTAAAACTGAGGTTCAGAGCAGGTAAATAATATTCCTGAGGTCACATGCTGATAGAGCTCTAATCCAAACCCAGAAAACATGATCCAAAAAGCCCCCTGCACTAAGTCGAACTTGCATTAGGAAAAGGGGACATTTCTACTTCCCTACGTTGTCAAGGTTGCTACTGTGTGCCAATCCAGATGTGCAGAGTCCCAGCAAGAATGTGGCCGTTAAATACCAATGAGGAAGACTTTCTAGCCCTTCTGTGGACATGGCAGAGACTCAGGTCTGGTTAATCTAGGAAAAGAGGATCAAGTTTCCTTCTAGAAGTCTCCTCACCCCATTTTCCTTCCAGCCTGATATTTGAAGATAACACCTTACCACCAGCCTCTCCTAATGCTCTGCCCAGAACATCTAATAAGTGTTTACCCAGGGCTCCCAGAGCCACAGTTAAGGCCTTAATGTGCAATCTGGCTCTGCGCCTTATTTAATCAGCACCTGAATGAAGTGTCTCTTTGCTAGCAACAGTCAGCCAGTCTTTCTGCAAACACAGCTGGTCGACTGGCAAAGGCGATTCAACTCACAGGCAAAAGATACCCCAAGGTAATTCTGCTGCTGACGCAGGGTCTAGATGGAGAGACTGAAAGCATCGGGATGGAGTGAGGACGGCCCATGCTTCCCCTCCCTTCCCTTCCAGATGACCACGGTTCCCTCTCCTACACACCTAAGCCCATGCCCTCGGGCTGCTGCTCACGCTGCACCTGCCAAGCATGCCAACCTTCCCTCACCTCTTGCCTCCTGCCATTTACTTCGTTCCCTCAGAATCACCCAACCCAGGACGGGACTCCAACTCCCTTGCTCCCTTCCTCCCTCTGGCCCTCCCTCCAGCAGCGATAGACAGGAACCAAAGCCATCTGAGAGACCCCTGAGCTCTCCCCTTCTGGACCTTGGGCTGGCAACAGGTCCAAGTGCCCTGCCACACCATGCACAGATTTGTGGGCCCTGGCCTGTGCAGCTGGGAAAGAGCTGAGTACACAGAGGACTGGTGCCCAAAAGAAGGGGTCCTCCCCAGGCCTTCGGATTAACCATGGCATCCAAACACCTTGAAGGGGCACCAACATTAATATGATGCCTTGGCGGTCAGCAAGCAGGGCAGGAAGACACTGATAAGCCCAGTTCTCCTGCCCAGGAAAGGGGGAGGAAGAGGTCAACACCTGGGCAAGAAATGTGAGAAAGGCTTCCTGCTTGAAAACAAACTCCACCAATCAGAGAGCAAGCTAAGGTAACAAGGCCATTTAAAAAAAAAGTGGGAGAGTTTATTGAGATAGAAAGGTGTAAAGTGGGAGAGGGGAGCCCCCAGAGTTGGGGGCAGTCCCAAGAGAGGGTGCTCCGAGGTCATTTTTAAAAACTCATCTTCTCCCCAATGCCAGTGGAGTCTGTCCATGTGCCACCCTCACTTCAGTGTGAACCTCTTAAATGGAACTGCTTTCCTCCCTGTTCCATCATGGATGTCACATCCTCTGACGAAATGAGCATTCTGAGCAGTAGAAGGAACTGTTTTGGAGCTTGGAAAACTCTGGAAAGAGGCAGGCTTTGGATGGGGTGGG